GCTCACTGTTGTATCACGACATCAGGGCGTGCATGCGCGGTCTGGATCCGAGACGTTTGAATTAACGTTGCGTTTTGACGCATCTGCTTGTCTTCCTTCCATAAGTTCAACGAGCTTCCTACTTGGTCGGTTACATCCTAGTGACTCTGTATTTTTAAGATCCCGTCACAGGAGGTGAAAAGTACTCCGCAAAGGAACAACAAAGGCGACGTTTTATACAACGCAACGAACCCTACGGCCAGATCTACGATCTAGGCCCCGGATCCATAAGCTCGAATATTCGCTTAGGATACGGAACCATCCACGGACGCAGAGTGAAGATTTTCCACTGTTGCTTCACCCCATCCCCACGTCTCGCCAAGACGCTCAAGCTTCACCACTTGAACTCTTCGGAAGTTACCGAGAGAGCAAGATCCCCGCCCTACCGACGGGTACACAAGGTGAGGAAAGTTCAGCAGAACACGGATCATCGGGGGACCCCCTCCGTTAGTCGGTGTCTGGGTGCAGGTGGTAAGCTGGATCCGGCAATCTTGCAGATTTTGCTGATCCCGCTACACCACAGGTACACAAGGTGAGGAAAGTTCAGCAGAACACGGATCATCGGGGGACCCCCTCCGTTAGTCGGTGCCTGGGCGCAGTTGGTAAGTTGGATCCTGCAATCTCGCAGATTTTGCTGATCCCGCTACACCACAGGAATGTAGCTGGTAATAGACGCAATACTCTTTTTTGATTAGCCTCCAATAGAGCTCCTACAGCCTGTAGAAGCCATAAGTCATCTTCATCATCGTCTCCAACCATTTTGGGAATGATCCTGCAACCGACAAGCAGGCTATCTACCTCTATTTAGCACTGTGGTGTTACAATCAATTGGTTGGCTACGATTATTAATGCTGTACTTACTTTGTTGATGTGTACACAGCAATTTTGAGCCGGAGCGTTAATTACGCGATTTGGCAATTTAAAGTCGAACACGACCTTAGTTTTTTTGTTCCTAAAATGACCTAAAATTAAGCATCTAAATTTAAAAAACTGTTTAACCCCAAATATCATTATTCCAGATTGGGGACACTGGGTGGGTGGGTGGAAATAAAACTTATTATTAATACCCATATTACCCAAAACCAAAAAAAACAACCCTGATGGCGACGCATTACGGGCGGCACCTGGAGCGCCTGCAGCGGGGCGAGCACCTGGAAGTTAACGCCGTATTATCACTGTGTGAACGAGTAAAGGACCTCCTCGTAGAGGATGATAATGTGGTGCACGTCTCATCCCCCGTGGCGGTGTGTGGCGACATCCACGGACAATTCCACGATCTGCTGGAACTCTTCAAGCTAGCGGGCCAGGCTCCCGACACGAGCTACATCTTCCTGGGCGACTTTGTCGACCGCGGCGCAATGAGTGTAGAAACTATCTCGATGCTGTGTGTACTTAAGGCCAGCTACCCGGACCGTGTGACGCTGCTACGTGGCAATCACGAGTCTCGCCAGACGACGCAGGTCTATGGTTTCCAGATCGAGTGCATGAAGAAATACGACGGCGACGCGCGAATCTACAAGGCCTTTATGGAGCTCTTTGACTTTTTACCGTTGGGGGCACTCATCGATAATAGCTTGCTCTGTCTGCACGGTGGCCTTAGCCCGGCACTTCACCATCTCGACCAGCTACGAATGCTCGATCGCTTCCAGGAGATCCCTCCGGACGGGATCTTTGCAGATATTGTGTGGTCCGACCCGGACTCCAAGACTCTTGGCTTTCACATGGTAAGGGGTGGATCAATAAGTGGAGGAGGCCAGTGACGGACTTATTTTGTCGTGTTTGCTTACTCTAGTCGCCGAGAGGAGCGGGGTACATCTTTGGGGAAGATGTGGTGGAGAAGTTTCTGCACATGAACAAACTGGCGCACATGGCAAGAGCGCATCAGTTATGTATGGAGGGATATCAAGTACTATTCAGAGACACCTTCTCCACGGTCTGGAGCGCTCCAAACTATTGTCATCGCTTTGGAAACCTTGCTGCTGTCATGGCAGTGGATGACCATCTTGATGTAAGGCCTGGAACGGGTGATACATTATTGCGCTTACAGTAGATCTAACACTTCTGATGTATTCGCGACGACAGCGTACTTACAAAACCTTCAAGGAAGCGGCGTCTTCTAGGAATATTGGTGTGCTAGACAGCAAGGGCACGAGTTCGGACGCCATCGACGCCGGCTACTTTACCTAGGCCGAGAGGAACTATTCAAAGCATAGCGAGAGACACATAAGTCGATAGATTTTGTACGGTAAGCTTGAAGTAATGCAGTTGACGTGGACATCTTGACTTAGTGGTGACGCCTCTTCTTGTCTTTGCGGTTCTTGGAGCGACGCTTATGGTCTTTCTTGGCCTTCTCGTAAGCTGCTGCGATCTGCTCCATTGTCTTAAGGTGTAGAGGTTTCATCTTGGTCTTGACGCACTTGTCGATCTCGAGTGCATCAAACACTACCAGCGACTCTGGATGGTTGTACAACTGCGCGTTACCCACCATGAGATTAAAATCCCGCTCAAACTGGTCGTGGGACGCGTAGTAGTACATGTCTAGCCGCTCCTTCATGGTTGTCAAGTCCATTGGCTCTTTTACGATCGTGTAGTAGTCAGGGTAGTCCACAGCGGATGGTTTCTCCATGTACAGCTCGGAACGAAGACGCCCTGTTGGGTCCTTAAGCTTAATAACAGCGTCGTAAACCTTCTTGTAGTAGTAGCAAAGCATCTTGCGTTCGCGTCTACCAGCATCGTCATCGTTTGGATTATCATCGCCTTCAATGGAATTAGGGTCCACAAATTCTTCGTCTTCGTCTCGCTTCCGTTTGCCTTGCTTGCATTCCTTTGGACTCTTTGCGGCTGCCGCCTTCATCTCGTTTTCATCAATCCCATCCTCACACATTTTGACAAACTCTGCATCTGTGAACTGGTCACGATACGACATTTCCTTGCGCTTGCGAGGTTTGCCTGCGACGGCTTCCATATCAAAGTTCCAAGCGTCCTTGTCGTGCTTTCCGGTGGCGATATCGTGCTCCATAACGTCGTTGGCTTCGCGTAGCCAGGCTGGGGCGTCCTTCTCTGCCATAAGTCGAGAGCGAGGAGAGTATGGGACGTTGTACTGCTTGCAATATTCTCCCCATTCCTTCGATTCGCGAGCCTTGCGCTCATCATCCAGACGATGATACAAGGCCAGCTCCTCATCTGTTAAAGCCATCATCTCATTGATCTCGTCATCCAGTAAGACATTCGACGACTCATCGTCGCCATGGGCAGCATGGGCAGCCTCCTCCTGTTCCATCTTTATGAGACTCTCCAGCATCGCACGTCGCTCTGCCTCTTTTGACTTGTTGTTGAATTTACCTGCCTCCACGACAAGGTTGTTCATATTCATCTTGTCAGTAGCACGCGACAGAATCTTCTCTTCCACGGGACTATTGGTCACGAGGCGGAAGACGCGCACCTCATTCTTTTGCCCAATTCGATGCGCACGGTCCTGAGCCTGGGCGTCCATGGCGGGATTCCAGTCACTATCGAAGATAATGACTGTATCCGCCGTCGCAAGATTCAGCCCGAGACCACCCGCGCGAGTACTCAGGAGGAAGATGAAGAATGGGGAGTCTGAGGCGTTGAACATGAACATTCGCTGTTCACGTTCGTCGGCACTTGTAGACCCATCCAGACGAAGGTAACGGAATCCACGATAGTTGAAATAGTCCTCCAAAACGTGCATCAGTTGCGTCATTTGACTGAACATCAGCACTCGATGACCCGCAGCTTTCAGCTTCGGCAGCATGCGGTCTAGCAGCTCGAACTTGCCGGACGACCGTACGATATCGAAATCAATCTGGTACCCATTCGTTTGGAAGAGGTATGGGTGGTTGCATACTTTACGCAGCTGCATCAACACGTTCGACAAACCCTTGGAGGTGTACTTGGCCTTTCCTTTCTTCTTACCACTGTCATCCGTCGTCTCCATGAGCAGCGCTCCTCCTTCCTGGATACGTCGGTACATAATCTTCTGCCATCCTGACAGTTCACATTTCAGCACCTTCTCCACCTTGTCAGGAAGCTGATCTAGCACAGAAGCCTTCACACGTCGCAACAAAAATGGACGCAGCACCTGATGCAGTCGATTGATAATCAGCATCCGCTCCTCATCCGATAACTCATTCGAGTCGCCATTACCCGAGAACTGCGCAAACGGTTTACTAAACCACTGCTCGAACGTGTCCACAGACTCGAAAATAGTCGGCAGCAGAAAATTCAGAAGCGCCCACAGCTCAGGCAGGCTATTCTGCAGCGGTGTGCCAGTCAACAGCAGTCGGTTGCGCGATGTGTACATACTTCCCAGTGTCATGGCGAACTTACTCTGCGCATTCTTCATGCGATGACCTTCGTCCACGATAATGTACTGCCAGTCATACTTACGCAGCACGTGCTTGTCCTTCATAATGTACTCGTATGTTGTCAGGAGCACATTAAACTGGCATGACGCCATTTCCTGCTTGTGGAGCTCCTTGCGCACCTGTGGAGGGCCTTTGTACACGACAAGCACGAGATCAGGTGCCCACTTTTTAAACTCGTTCACCCAATTCGACAAAGTAGACAGCGGCACAACCACGAGGAATGGGCCGTGGTTGTGTTTCACCTCCGTCACGTACGTGAGCAGCGAAATAGACTGGATCGTCTTCCCGAGACCCATTTCGTCAGCCAAGATGCCGTTGAGATGGTTGTCATACAGAGACACCATCCACTGTAAGCCTCGCAGCTGATACTCCTTCAAATCACCACCAACCAACATGAGCGGCTGTCGAGGCAGTTCTCCTTTCGACGCGATCTCTAAGTAGTTCAGATCGTCATCCAAGTCGTCAGCGTTCGTGTCTTTACTGCCATCATGATGAGCATCGTAATGCGCTGTGTACTCGTCCACCACGTGATGTTTCTTTTTGTGTTGACGCACCAACTTTCGAATGCTGTCCAGGTAGCTGTTTGTCTGACTCAGCAGGTATGTCAGGCGCTCGTTCTTCGCTTCTGCCACCAACTTTCCGTAAGCTTCCATATCATTGGCCTTCAAGGCCTTGAGACGAAGCTTCTCCTGGCGATCTTCTTCACGTTCAGCCTTGGAGGCACGTTGGTCGATGAATCCCTTTACAGCCTTTGCAGACTTACTCACCTGTGCCTTAACATTCTTGTGATACGCAAAGAACTCGCGCGAATGGTTGAGAACAGCCTTCAAGTACATTTGATGGTCTGCGCGCCGCTTCTTCTCCATCGCCACAGACTTCTTGCGCTTCTCACGCTCGTCACCCTGCAGCTCCACACGTGAGACTGGACGACGGCGTCGGAATGATTTCCGGTCCACTGCACAAGGTTCTCCCAGCAGAGCCAATCTGGTACTGTGGGTCTTTGCCACATGACTCCGCAGCTTCTGCTGCAGCAACACACAGCGCAGATCTCTCAGTGTGCGTTGCTCGTTCTCGTCTAAATCTCCAGTATGACTTTCCAATTTGTCCAGACTTGAAGCCAAGAACTGCTTCAGTGTGTCCAGGTACCGCATCTTCAATGCCACGTCGTTAGTTCCAAGCCAAGGCGCGCAGATATTGAAGGGACCAAATGCCAAGTTGCCCTTGTCCTCGATCCCAATGAGATCTCCGTCCAAATAGGTCGGACCAATAAACAGCAAATTGCGAGCTGCTCTTGTCCACTTGGGAGTCATGAGTTCCAGCACTGGGGGGTCCGCAGCAGAGGGTGGGGGCGGCTGTATGGTCCCCATAGACTCCCCCATCATTGCGTTGGTAGGATTTGTTGGCTGCTTACTGAGACCCGCCGCACTAAGCTGCTTGGCCTGTGTAATGGCTGTGTCCATCGAGTGACACAAGGCCTTGTAAGCGCGAATCTGGTTGTGAAGGTACTCGAGCTGCCTGTCCGAGAAAAGGGCCGTCTTCTGCTGCATGAACGGGTTGGCAGCCACATCCAGGGACTGGGAAGGAGGTGTCTGAGTTTGAGGCTGCATCTGAGTATGTTGAAGCGGCAGCGTCTGAGTCTGCATTTGCTGCTGGCGCGTGTGATGTAGCTGTTGGTATTGCCGCAGCAGCGTCACGATCTGCTGGTACTTTGGGTGGTTCTTCTGGCCTGCGCGTTGCATGCGCAGCGCCGCGTCCATTAACTTCTTCACATCGGCGGGCGTCAGCGCCACACGAGGCGCAGCGGGGACGTGTGCCGCCGACTCCATTGGTTTTAACTCGACGGAGGAACAAATTCAACAAATCAGCCAAACAGAAAGACGGAGAACCGTTTAATAGCGTATCATATGTAGTAGGGGTTCTATAGGATAAAAACATACCCAAATACTAGTACATGTAGTAGAAGGCCTTTTGAACCACCAAAAAAAAAAAAGGAGGAACAATGCTAACAACGTCTGTCACGCTGTCTGTCTACATTTCTCCCTGCCTTGCACTGCTGCTGAGATAGGTCCCTTAGTCGGACCTCATTAATCTATGAGAACGACGCGCGATCGAATACGTGAAGAGGGAGCGACTTGGTCATGAGCCTGAAGTATGCCAGCTGCGAGTCCGTGGGCTTGTCTTGAATGATCAAAATCAACAACATACACGTTCGTCACTTCACAGCACAGCTTTATCAGCAACCAACATCAGAGAGAACGCACCGTGCAGGAAGCTGACTTGGTTGTAGTACGAGACGACGGTCACAAGTTCCTCGGGCGTGTATGGGCGCATGGTGGCGCGGATCTTGCGGTAGTCCACCTGCTGCTTAAAGTGCACCTTTGTGGGGAAATTCTCCGTCACGGCAGCGACGAACAGACCGTTCTTGAGCTTGCGCGACTCGTCATATCCCTTAGCACCAATGTCCTTGAGGGAAGCGATCACCGAAATGTCATCGGCTTCCACGTCCTTGCCCTCGTAACCGAAGACAGTCGAGTGGAACCACGTGTTGTAGTCGTCGATGGCGATTAGCACGGGGAACTCTGTGGTCTGCGCCAGTTCCTTCTTCAGGTCACACACAGCCTGGCACGCCAGTTCCTCATCACGCACACCACCAACAACCACATCACGCAGGGTCAAAGCGGCGTCCTTGTAGTCTGATGCGTTCTTAGGCTTGGACTCGAACTTGTCCGTATGGTAGTAGCGGTCGGCGTATTTGCCACGCAGAGGGATGGACTTCAACTGCTCACCGTGACAGTGCAAGAACTTCTGCAGCAGATCCACACCGTACACATCGATGTCGAGCTTTCCCTGCTGGTATGGCGACTGCATCACGTACGGAGCTTCATTGGTCCACGAGCGCGGGTTGGGGATGTAGAGCACCACCCAGTTACTTTCACGCGCGTATTGCACGATCTGGTGCAGCGCGAAGCTCTTTCCTGTGCCGCGTTCACCGTCAATCAGGTAAGCGCCGATGGAATCGTCTTTGTCGGTCTCCCAGTCTGCATACACGAACGCAGCAACCAATTAGTCGATAATACAACAGCTCCAAAGCTCGCCCTGCGCACCATTCATAGCCGACATAATCTGCAGCGTGGTATCGCGTAGCATGATGTGGCGGTGGCCAAGGAGGTCAAAGGTGTCGTCCATGCGACGGACAACGCCCTCCGGGAAGAGCTCGTCCTGCTGCTCCTTGGCAAACGCGAAGAACTTGAGACGGTGAGCCTTCGTAGCCTGGAAATGGTAGCAAGGACAGCATATTATAGCACCAATTAGTTTTATTTCGCTCTGTAGGCCGCTGCACCCACGTGTTACCTGCGAGATCGGCACTCCCGCGAGGTTGCCCAGATCCCCCTCCGAGATCTCCACAGTCTCCGAAGTGGCCGTGGCGTCGGCAGCAAAAGCGACGGAAGGAGCCTCTGTGGAGAGAGAACGCAGCGCCGATGTCTGCAGGCACCGCATTGGCAGGCGCTTGGTCAGCACGCGCATGGGCATCATTGGTGGAGCCGTCGAAGATGATGGCTCGTGTGGCTAGCAATGCCTAGCTTACAATAATTAAGACTCGTAAATCCTACCTAAATTGTCCAATCAGAAGGCGGTGACGAGTTATTAGTACTGTACTGTAATAAAAGAATTAGGAAAATAGTGCTACCTTGAAAGGACGCGCGCTGTGTTGCTCATTGCAGCAATGGGGGCGGCAGCATCTACTGCAAGAGAAAATCTGGGTGCAACGGCAGTAGACACAGCAGTAGACGAAGCACCATTAACGTGCAAACTCAATAACGACCAAGTGGCGGTGTTAGCGAACAGTACTAACTTTACGCCGGAGGAAGTGATCGCCTTAAACGTACACTACGATCTCATCAGCTCGGCGAAGCGAGACGACGGGCTGATCAACCGCAGCGAGTTCCAGTCGGCGCTAGGCTTCACTGTGAAGGAGTCGCTGTACGTGGATCGCATATTCCAGCTCTTTGACACCAACAGCGACAACTGCATAAGCTTCGACGAGTTCCTGCAGAGTGTATCAGTCCTGTCGTTTAAGGGCGGTACGGCCGAGAAGATTAAATGTGCGCCTGACACTTACTTTGCTTGTTGTTGAATGCGCTCCTCATCATGGTCGCTCCGGCGGTGCAGTTTCCTTTGATATTCTAGACTTCGATCGCGATGGGAAGTTGTCACCGCACGAGCTACTTAGCATGCTCGAGGCCTGTATTCAAGAAAACGGCATCAATATCCCTGCTGAGTGCCTCACAACAATCGTAGCCAAGACGATGGAGGACGTAGATCTGGATAAGGACGGATTTATCAGCTTCGACGAGTTTCGGGTCATGACTGAGGCCAACCTGCAGATGCTCAACCACGTGACTTTCAACGTGTCCGCCGTCATTGCCGAATACATGCCCGCACTGCGCGTGCTGATCTCGAATAGAGCCTAGTTAAGCTAGTAGCTTCGGTAGACATATACAACGAAGTACTACGTAGTAATTATCAATCGCTTGTAGGATAACATTGGCAGCCAATGTCTTCCTATTTGGCCAATTTGATGATCTCGCCGTTTTCATTTTCCTATCTCTACGCGCGCTGATTGGTGCGAACTTTCATGCATTCACTGTACCAGTGTACCGTTCAATGACAGTTGTGCCTGGGAGAGGCTGTCAAAGGTGAGCAAGGCGACAAGAACTCGACGACCGGATTTGGAGGGCCGTTACGCAGCTATCCTGGAGCTAAAAGCGGCGAGTAGCTAGAGCACCGACAACAACAGCGTCATGCTGACCCGCTGCCTGGCTGCGACTTTCTGCGTGAATGAGACGTGCGCAGTGCCCGACCGCCGCCGAGCCCTCCCCTCGACCGAACAGCATTTACATCAGCAGCAGAGCGACAGTATGTCTGGCAACCAGCACCAGGTGCTTCTGGCTGGAGAATATGCACAGCGCCGCCCACTGCGGCACAAGTCGCCGCTCGCGGCCTTCACGTCTCAGCTGGAAGCGCAGCAGCCTCCGCCCGCCAAGGAGCTGGTGCATGTACAGTACGAGCAGCAAGAACAAGAACCAGAGCAGCCAGAGAAGCAGCAGCCAGAATGGCCTGGGCAGGAAGGCGTTGACGCTCAGACGCTCTTCGAAGTGAAGGCCACATCCGTTAAGATCGGCCGAGAGATTGGCAAAGGAGCTTTCTCTGTTGTTTACGCCGGCGACTACCGAGGCCAGCACGTCGCAGTCAAGTGCCAACCTAAAGACGCAGAAGGCAACATACCGGCCTTCGTGTTGCGAGAGGTGCAAGTGCTACGTCTGCTGCGTCATCCGAGACTGCTTCAGTTCGCAGGAGCTGCCGACAACGTCCGTGCCAAACAGATCTGGATCCTCAGCGAGTACTTGAACAACGGCGACGTTGATCTGCTACTTAAGGCCATTCGTAGTGAGAAGAAGCCTCATATTGGTTGGCACCGTGTGCTACGCATCGCTTTGGATGCTGCTGAGGGGATCGAGTTCCTACAAGAGAGGCACATTGTACACCGCGACATCAAATCCTCCAATATCCTACTGGACGATCAGCATCGTGCTAAGCTCTGTGACTTCGGCTTTGCTGTGGAGATAAAACCTATTGATGCGATGGCTCATGGTGCAGCGGATGCGAGCAAGCAGCGGCGTAAATCGTACTGTGGAACAGACGCCTACATGGCACCTGAGATGTTCCTGGACGAAGACTACGACCACAGCGTGGACATCTTTAGCTTCGGAGTGGTGCTCATGGAGATGCTGTGCTGTCGTGTGGCCAACTCGGACGGATTCTTGATGCGTCTACCGCAATACAAGTTCCAAGTGCTCCTGCCTGAGTTCCGTGACGCTCTACCAGCTTCATGTCCTTCTGCGCTTGCAACTCTGGCGGAGAAATGTGTGTCATTTGAACCCAACGAACGTCCCGACATCAAGACAATTGTACAAACGCTCGAGGGTGCTCTGAAACATACCAGTAGCTCGCAGTGCGAGAATGTGAAGCTTGTTCCGTTCACACCTGATGAGCGGGAGCCGCAAATTGAAGCGGACGATGACGCGTACTATGGCGAGAACGACGAGGAGGAAGAAGATGATGACGACGAAGATGAGGACGACGACGATGAGGACGACGAAGCAGAAGAAGGAGAAGAAGAGGAAGACAATAGCTACAACTTCCAGGCAAATGGTCGACACAACACAATGGGTATGGAGTCGGACGAGGAGGAGCGCGATGTTCGATCCCAAGTCGTCGATGACCCTTTCTTGGACGAGGAGAGTGTCGATAGCGACGTGCCAGGTCAGCCTGCTTCTCCTGCCCCGTACCACGAAGGAATGATTCTGAAGCGCGGTCGCCGCGGAAAGCGTTCGTGGGTCGAGAAGTGGTTTATCGTCGACCACGACCAGCTCCATTACACAGACGTCCCTCCAGGTTGGCGACAGCATCAACAACAAAATGCGGAATGGCGCTGCACGTTATCTCCTATCTCGTCGCTTTCACTGCGTGAGTGCCGCATCTGGAAGACGATGGAGATGCCGGAGCTGCGATTCAACGTGATTGACAACAACTGGAAGATCAAGCGCGAGCTGCAGGCCGTGACAAAACGTGACCTTGCTCTGTGGATCGAGCTCATCAATCAAGGGATAGACTATGCTAACGAACTCTACGCTCGTGAGCACGACTTGCCAAACAATAGTGCAACTGGGGCGAGCGCGAGTAGCAGCAACGCAAGTCGCCCCAGTCGCAACAGGGTGAAGAAGTGTCAGACGTCGTCCAAGTCGCAAGAACGAAGACCCAAGTCAAATTCCGATGCTTCAGCTTTGAGGAAGACAAGACGTCGAAGTAGTGTAACAAAGTTTGAGGAACCGCCCGAACTGCCAGAGACAGAGGAGGACCGCGCCGATGAGGTATACCTGTGGCTTAAGCAGATTGGTTACCAGAGATACGCACCCATGTTCAAGGTAAAGGGATTTGATTCGCTCGATTTTATTCGCGAGGTGAGCTCCTTCGTGATGAGAAAGGCCTGTACTTTTGGGGAAACTTGCTAACGTCACTTTATTGTTGCTGCAGACTGGCATTGAGATGGAAGATTTAAATTTCGTGGGCATCAAGGAGCCTGTGGCGCGTAAGGCGATCCGTTTAGCAGCTCGGACGTTGCGCGGCGACAATGATGATTGACTTTTCGAGATAAGTTCAAGTATGATGCCATGCGGCGTATTTTCTCAGCTCATTACGACGATTTTCTCCAAAATATACTTCTAGTAAGTATGCAAGCAGCATTTATTTCATCCTTCCTCAACGCTGTCGTTGCTGGGGAGAGCACTGCTACTTGTAGAAGTGCATGGACATGGCCTTTTGCTGACACATGTACACAGTACGCCCCAACCGCTCTCTCTTAAGCAACGCACAACGTCTACCCTACTTAACATCAGAGCAAATAAAAAACCGCGACAGAAAAGCAAGTACGTGCATAAGCAATTGCATACCAAGCAGCTAGTCTTGGAAAAGAAGATCCTACACCAGCGGCGCATTGGACGTCAGACCATCCTCGACACCCGTGAGAAGGTTGCGCAAGAACGTCTCCGTCACACGCGTATAGTTGATGATTTCCGAGCGGTTCATCTTGTCTAGCGGCATCTCCGACAGTCCAGTCAAGTGTTCAGCGTTCTTCTCCAAATTCTCCTGTAGGTACTCAAACAGATTCTTTTCCTTCCCAGTTGGTAGGTAGTAGCCAAAGACGTACGTGTACTTGAGTACTCGTCGGCACTCGATCAGCTGCTCCGTCGCTGCGTTCAGAAACTGCACGTCAATCCACGACGAATCTCCGTGACTTGCCTGGAGTTCGATCATGCGATTCTCGGTGCCTTCACGCATCCGCTGTGCAAACTTTCCTGCTTCCGAGTGGTTGGCGAATCGCTGGTAGTAGTGAAGGTATCTGTCAAGTTCTGCCTTTGCTCGAGCCGCATCCGTGTCAGCTGCTTGAGCGTCTGCATCGTAACGGTTGCATTTGTAGTAGCCACCAGTTCCAGATCCATGTTTGTCCCATCCTTCCATACAAATCCAGCAAAACTCGTAGGTGCAACTTCGGCACGTCATGTGGTTGCAGCCCTGGTTCTTCTCGATACGGACAGAGCACTTGGGGCATTTCTTCGTGTTGGCCAAGATCCAGTTGGCGGTCTCAGACTCGTTGCGGCACTTTTCTTGCCAGGATGCAAGCTGCTCGCACGTAACAGGCGCGTGGGCCTCTTCACCGCAGCGAAGGCAGAAGACGCACCCACACGTGCATGTCACTGACGACAGTCCACCGGCACTAGTGATGGCCTTGCTGCAACCAGGCGATGGACACCACTTGACGCCCTTGTTAATGTCCACGAACGATCGCAGCAGATAGCGTGCATACTTGCGGTAATCCTCTGGTCCAACAATTTTCTTGAAGATCACATCGCTCACCACCTACTCAAGACCAGATGTAAGTAGAAATTCACTAGCAGGAAAGAGTAGTACACTACACCAAAATCACCTCTTTGCAGCCGTGCGCGGGGCACGTCGTGGTCACGCAGATCGGCCCTTCCTGGATCTTAAGAGACAGATAAGGCTTCCAGCAGTTGAGACAATACACGTGGCCGCAGCCCATTCCGAAGATCTCATTGGCCGGGTATCCATCGCAACAAATATCACAGTCCACCTTTAAGCATACAACAGCATCAAAAAGTCAGTTCTAGTCCCCACTCTCTCCCTCTATCTGCTCCTCGTACTTTGGTCCCTGAGGGGATGACGGCCGCTGGTTTCTCCGCGAACTCGACGCCTGCCTCGTGCTTCGTCGTTACTGGGTCAGCGTAATAATCCTCGAACAGCTTTTCCTTATTCCAGCCAAAGTAGCGCAGCAGCACCGAGGCCACGGGTCCTGGTATCTCTAGCACCTGCGCGATCTCATTGATGAGCGCACGCTGCTCCTGCAGCAGCTCCTCCTCGTCGATGACATGGTACTCCTGCTGCTTGTGACTGCCAGCGTGGCCCAGCCCACTTGGGCTCAGACGTTTCTTTTTAGCGGCCGAGGCACTGCCAAGTGGGGAGAGCGAGTGGGCAGCGTGTTGTTTCTTCGCATTTAGGTTGGGAGTGGCGTCAGACTGCACAGACGACATGTCATCTTCATCCTCCGAGTACTGGTACTCTTCCTCCACGTCGCTGTAGTGGTACTCGTCATCCGATAGAGGGGAAAGCGGCGCGCTCATGATGAGGCTTTTCGACGAGATGAAGAATACAAGTATGCTTTTCCTGCCACAGTTTATGTGTCCCACATTCACGAGTGTGATGCACCGGTGTACGCAACACTGTTTTGTTCCTGCAGTCTGGATTTAACTGAAAGCGTAGTATTATTGTGCCTTTCTGCCAAAACCCCCTCAGTTTTATGGATGAATATCATCAATTCTCCGACCCTTCTTAATTTTAGTATTGGTATTAATCACCAATCATCCATTTTTATTTATTAGACAGGGTCTTGACAAAATGATTTGGCCAATCCAAATGGTAAGGGTTAGGCTGAACGTCGTTGGAGTTGGCTTTGACATATCGGGTCGGAGGGGACTCAGGAAATATGGATATGCTCTTACAAATTTCAATATGTAGGCATATCACATGCATAAAGTCATTTCTCCGACTTCTCCGACCAGTGCAATCATTACCACACATTAATTTTAAATCTTAGACTTATTATACTACTAGCAGTAAATTTTAAAAGAGGTGGGAAGCAGCGCTTGCTCGTCATTAGGAGCAATACATGCAACACGCCTGCGTGGAGATCCATTTTTTCTGTATTACGTAGAGCATTATGTCAATTAAATGTACATGTATTGCATTATTAGTACTTGAAGCACCGGCTCGCTGCCTCCTGTGCACCGCCCTGCCACCACCGCACTGCCACCGCCCTGCCACCGCACTACCCAAGCCCTGCCACCGCACTGCCACCGCCCTACCGCCGCATTGCCACCGCACTGCCGCCGCCCTGAGACCGCCCTGCCACCACCCTACCACCGCTCTGCCGCCGCACCGCCGCCGCCTCCCTCCTTTTTTATGAATACATTTTCGATGTGGCCCACAGTTAAAAAAGAAAACTTAATAAATTTGTTTTAAGGGCTACTGACTTAGATGTACCACCCTTTTGGTACAGGTCGGAGATTGTGGAGATTTTATGCTATGGTTGGACAACCCGAGAATCTGGGTGCACCGTCTGTGTTAGGGCGTAGATCGTACATCGACGACATCCTACTTCGCGCGGAGTCATGGGATCGATTATGTGAGCGGGTCAATGCTTTACTGGAGGCGTGTAACAAGTAGAATCTCTCAGGGCGTGTTCGCGTTGTGCCTGGAGATGGAGATGGTCCCATCTCACTAAATACGTCTAACAATTGATTGGCCAAAAACCATTTGTTACAACTGCACAACTGGAGATTAGAGGTGATATCCTTCTCCACCTATTGGAGGTGGAGACAGGAGACGGAGGTAGAGACGAGAGGCTCACAATTTGTTATGGAGGAGGACATTGAAAACGTTTTGCTAGCTGTGTGTGCTGCAGTAGGACAAGCGGCTGTACTGCTTATAACTGCTGTACGTATAATGTAACGCTAGACTCATACACAGTACATGTACCTTTGACTTGCACTGGGTAGCATCAACCTCGAGGCCACCAATACGGTGAGTCTCTGCAGCTAGGTAATCCCACGCAGCACTCAACTGCTTCGAGTTCTTAATGCCATCAAACAACCCCTTCAGGCTATCGAATCGCAATCTCAGCAGCACCTCAGCCGCATTTACTGTCCACGCAAATGGGTGCTTTGTCTCGTTCCTGCCTTGATTCCTGCGGCGTGGTGCGCTCTGACCACTGCTGGTACGAGTGTGTACCGGTATGATAGCTGCGTCGTCCTCTGGTTGAGTGGCGTCTTCAGACCTTAACTGCATCATTCTTTGTTCTGGAGGAGAGCGTGAAGATGAGGATGTGACTTCTCGATTCTAGGTTGTGAGTGCCGTGTCCACACATGGTATCGGCACCTGATTGGTTTAAAGTGCACCTGGATAAGGATACGTAGCGACAAAACTGGAGGTGGAGATCGTAGGACACCACAATCATCTCCATCTCCAGGCACAACGCGAACAGGCCCTCAATCAGCGTGGGGAAGGGCTACTGGGGTATGCGCAAGGTGGTTTATTTGGGACATCGGGTGTCTAAAGATGGGCTATAGGCAAATCCGAAGGATCTGGCCATGTTAACTGATGTTGATTTCCCGGGATCACTTCGGGCGATGCAATCGCTCCAAGGTAGTTTGAACTACTATAGTCGTTTTGCTGAGGACTATTCTTTCTTTGCGGCTGTACTGTACAAACTACGAGAAGTGGATTTTGCGGCTATAGCCAAGTCATACGTCCGGATCACGATCGAACAAATCTTGGCACAGACCTCAATTCGACGGATCTGGATTAAGTGTCCGATCAGAGAAAGGCAGTCGTAAAATGTGCCTAATCCGGATGAAGAGACCCCCGACGGCATCCAATCTCGGTGGGTCCGAGCGCATCGGATGTTCACGACGTTGAAGGGCAAGATCGCGACAAGTCCGATTCTCTGTCATGTCAATCGAGATCGTCAAGCCGCGCTAATTACCTACACCAGTAATTGGGCTATTTCAGCTACGCTAGTGCAGGAACATGATGGGATGTACTATTCAGTCACTTTTGTCAGTCGAACTCTCAAGCCAGCTGAGTTCAACTATGGCGTGGTGGAGAAAAATCCATCGCACTTTTATGAGATCTCGATCTTAACAACAACTTGCTTGCGGGACGATCCATCAGGATCTTGACTCGACACTCGACCTTGGCCTGGCTGATCAATCAGTTGGCCTTCAAGAACGTCTATGTCAGTGAGCAGCCCTTCTCTCGCCTTGGTCTTTGGAGATCATCAAGTGTACGCATGGGGAAGACGAGATCTTAGGTGGTGTTGCGGCGATTATTACGCCAATATCCGAGGTAGACGAAGTGTTTTGACCCGGATCGCGCCCAGCAAAGAGCCTAGACGCCCGATCCAAACTTTGATTTCGACAGTACGACTGGACGAGCATCTGTACGTGTTAAGTTTTGACGGATCCGCCCGCGTGAAACGCGGTAAGGGCGCTTACAGCGCGATCTTGTGGAAACTACCAGAATGGACGGTGGCTGTAACGGGGTACGTAGCCCTAAGTGTACCCTGGTTACATGAAGTGTGACACTTCACACTTCAGGAGTATGACACGTCATACTCCAGGATATTTGGTACAAGGTACCAAGGTCGTTCAAAGCCAACCATTGGTTAAACGACATTGCATTTCTATAGGTAACTAATAGTTTGTATTAAACCCAAACTTAACCTACCTATACATATACTCAGTTTACAATCTACCTTATTTAGGTCACTTCGCTCTCTTTAATTAAAGAGGGGACCTGTGAACTGCCGCTCACTGAGAGTTTGTGTACTCTCGGAAGATAACTTCCTCTAGCGCAAGGTGCTGCGTGACCCCGTCACACTTGGTAGCACTTGTAGTCAATCCACGCCACCGCGGGTAGACTACCTGAACCTCTCCGAAGCTCGTTGCCATGGATAGGAACGACTTCTCCCATTTGAACGACTCTCAGTTCGAGTCGGTTCGGAAGATGGCAGGCATCTTCGGGATGGAGGCCCTGCAGAGCCTGGTGGTGTCAACACCGGCTGAGCAGCTCGAGCGCGTCAATGCATTCGACGCGTACGAGCAGGGCCTCATCGCGCATGTGCGGGAGAACCTGCAGGCTCCGGCGGCGGAAGCAAATCCGCCTCATGCGAAGCCAATACGGCTGAGGGTCAAGCCGTATGAAGGGAAGGAAGGCGAGAACCTTCACTTCTGGGTCCGAGAAGTAGAGCTCGCGATGGACGCGGCTCTGATCTCGACCGAGCAACTTCGTGCTGCTTTTGCACTCTCCAACCTTAGCAGCCGTGCTAAGAGTTGGATGTACACACGGGAGGCAGCATCCCCTGGATGTTTCACATCCTGGGATCAGCTGTGTGAACAGTTCCGAGCCGCGTTCCTCCCGGCGAACCACGAGTACCGCCAGCGTTCGCGCTTCCTCGCGTGTAAACAAGGAAGGCGCGAACTGCACGAGTATGTGCAAGAGATACGGGAGCTCACGGCGTCCCTAGTGGGAAACCCACTCAACTAACACATCAAGATGACTGTGTTCATGGACGGCCTTCGAGTGGGCCCCGCACGCACTCAGCTGTTCCGGGTGCAGTCAAGCACCCTTGAAGAGGCGATTCAAGTGGCTCTTCAAGAAGAGTACAGCCATCGCCAGGCGCGTACGCCGGCCTCAGCGTGGCCTGGGAGTTCTATGTCGGCTCCCGGTCGAACAAGCCCCAACGGACCAGTTCCCATGGAGCTCGGGTCCGCCGAACAGCGTGACATCCGCTGCTTCGGCTGTGAGAAGATGGGCCACTTCAAGCGTGACTGCCCCGCGGAAAGACTCCGCAGACGGTCCTTCCCCAAGCCCGTCCTCAAGGGTCGCTGGCAAAAGCCAGGATCCCGGGGACAGGGGAACGCAGGGAACCAGTAGGGGCGGGGCGCCCTACTGGGGAAGAACTAAGTCTTCGTGATGGGTGCGCGGGTGGCGCGTACCACGGGGACTTAGCCCCTGAGAGTCTTCGCACTCTCGAATCGGCGAAGAGCAGCGGCGGGTTGCTCGTAGTACACGGATGTGTACGGGGATACGATCATCCCTTTAGAATCTTGATTGACTCTGGGGCGTCGAAGAATTTCGCACGCCGCCAGACGGTTGCTCGTAGCAGCAACAAGTTGTCCGATGCTTTGAGAGAAAGGAAAGGCAACGGGACGGTGTCAGTGCGACTGGCCGACGGGAAGGTCGTCACTGTCCCCAGCGTCCAAGTGGATCGTGGCCGTCAAGTTTAATGACTTTGACAGCCTCGAACA